CCACTCCAATTTTTTCACAGATGGTTAGGAACATTGTGACGGACATAATATGTAAAAATTACTCAAATCGAAGGTGGCGTGTTTTTTGCTATTTGAATTTTTCTGTTTTAATTCAAGGTCAAATGCATTTCAAGGTCACTTCAATTTAATTTTATAATTAAAAATCAAAGCCTTATCAATTGCCTACAAGACCCTGTTAATATCATTTTGATACCAGAAAAGGAACCAGAGTTATAAGCATTTAAAAAAATGATGTCTGGCATTTTTGGCTATATTCGATGACCTATATCTCGGCGATACGTTATCAAATTTCGAAAATATTATACGTAACTCAGTTTTGAACCATGCCCAGTCTGCCTACAAATTTTCAGAAAAATCGAAGGGGATGACGGATTTCGGTGTTTGATTTGACGTGGAATGCCCCAATAAACAAAAATATTTAATTATAAAATAATAACTTAACTACAATTAGAAAAACCATAAACAAAATAATAAAAATAATGACATTTTTAAACCACGGTACTGCTTACATTTTTTGGCGCGTCTGTTTCAATCCGCCATATTTGCCAATCACGGTTTGACCTTGCGTTGTAACTCTGCGATTTAGAGCCGCCAGTTAATTATGCACCGGGTGAGTGCAGGCCTTGTGTGGTTAAAAAACATTCTTATGCCTTATTTTTTCATTTGAATGCTAAAATTCATTGAAAAGATGAAGTTGTCTGATTTTATGACCATATATGGTCATCGCCCCGCCCACTCCAGCCGCTGATTGGCTAATCCAATTTTTGTTTGGCTCCTCGTAGTTTCCCCAACTGACTTTATTTGACACAACTAACTTGAAACCCGCTGGTGTCAAAACTGATGCAAAGTGCCAGAAATTCTCGATTTTGAAATCATTGGCTATTGTCTATTCGATGTTTAACACCACTCGTGAGAAAAACTAGCTTTGAATTTTTTGAAGATGGCCTGGCAGACCCCACGAATGCCGTCCGCCAATGGTACCTATAAATTTAATGCTTGTAGAGTAATCTTGGTTTGTAGCACCTTTTGACAAACACATTTCGCAAATGTCGCTATGCTGCAGCCACGGATGTATGCCTATACCCGAATAAACGTTTGTGTATTACACGGATAGTTAGATCCGCTAGAATTAAGCGTTAAAGTAAATAGACGTGTATATATTATAGCGTTTGTGGTAATAGATGAAATCACTGTTCACGCTGAAAATTACTCGCAGTGGGTTTTAGCTAAACAGTTAATAATTCCGTTAAATTCCGTAAGTTTGCCACAAAAAAATCTTTGTTATTTTTAACCCTCGCCGTGCCGGTGCTCTGAGATTCCGCGCCGGGCGGGGGGTGTCTGAACACCCCCCCCCTTCTAACTCGGCTCCTGGGCCACGTAGCGACACGCGGTAAGCGGCAATCGAAAGAACGTCTAAAATAAGGACGAAAACACTCAGGTCATTTTTTGGGTCAGGTCAAAGGTCAGGTCACCAGAGGTCACCAAAGGTAAAATGTTGACTATTTTAACATTTTGGAAACTGCCAATGGCTATCTCGGGAACTGATAGAGCTACAGCGCCGTAGAAAAGCGCATTCGATAGCCCTTTTACAGACCTTTCTGAGTAATGTTCTCAGATTTGACCTCAGGTCAACGGCTTAGCCTCCAGGCTCCAGAGGGCAAAAACTAAAAAAGAGCCGTTTTTACGAAAAGCGGTTTTTCGGCAATAACTTTTGACTCAAAAGAGCAATGACATTACTTTTGCCAGAATCGTGTTCCTCTCTTCAATGCGCGTCGAATGAACTATAATTTGACCTTGAAAAGTCAACTTTAAAATTTGACCTCAGGTCAAGGTCATGACCTGACCGGAAAAGGTCATGTTGCATATCAGTCGATCCGCAACGTCGAGCCGAACACATCTAAGGCGTTTTCAGCCTAGCACGCCTCTATCAGAAGTTATTAGCGAAAAAAATGTTAAATTCTGTTCGTGATCTGAGATGACCTTGGGGACATAACGAGGGGTCACAGTTGCCATTTTCCGGTTCAGTGTGTCAACTTTACCTACATCTCGATGTTTGAGAGTGTCTAGAATAGCGTTCGTGCAAAACAGACGCTTTTCAATTTTCTCCTATTGACTTATACCTAATGGAGAGGCCGCAAAATTGACCTGACCTTAGGTCACCGATATCAAAATTCGGAAATATACATTTTATAGATAATGTTGCTCTTATCAATCGCTTAAAGTTTCAAGGCAATCGATCAATCGGTGTAGCTATGACGAGCATTCTTATTTCAGTGGGGGAAACTGTGGTCAAATCTTCTATTTTTGGAAGCCTTCCATTTTTGGAAGGACCTTCCATAAATGGGTATGCATTTTCCAAAAATGGAAGGCTTCCAAAATTGGAAGGTCTAATCTCAGTGTTCCCAACTGTGATTCACATTCTTTGATTTAAGTTACGGCCTTTTTAAATGTGTAACATTAATAGTTGATTTTGCCATTTATGATCATTGATATAAGGAGAAGCAGCAGTGCTAGTGTTGGTAATACAGGCATGCTATGTCAATGTACATAGTGATATAATAGCATGGTGTCCTGGCGCACTGCTCTCTTCTTCTACTTCTAGAGGACACATAGAAATTCAGAAGAGAAAACAGCTGGTCAATAACCAACCAGGAGGAACACAGCTATAGCCCTGACAAAAAATGGTTTAAATTAAACTTACTATTCCTCATATAAATTGAATGAAGATTCATGCTCCTTCGATAGAAAGTAACACGAAAAACGGCGCAGCAACGCCTATTTAATTCGTCCCATATTCCGGAAAAAACATTGAAAAATGACGAGACCTCCACGCAAATGTTTGGCAAAAGCCTTAAAAAATTGAAATCAACCACACAATATGCTAATAAATGCAGAAAACGGCAACAAATACAAGTTTTACTCGCCATTACACTCCCGAAACCGCCGCACTCTGTCCAGACAATTCCGCACTGTAAATAAAGTCGGCGGTATCGAACAAGCATGGCCCGTCACTAAAGTACTTTTAAGGATATTTACTTTTCGTTTTTGATGCTTTTTGCTTACAAAATGTTTGATAAAGTCTTCTAAAACCATCGTTTGTCGGTAAATTTTTGTCAATTTTCCACGACTCATTACTTTGAAAAATTACCTAAAATACATCCACGCTAGGATTTAGGCATCCACGCTAGATTATGGACACTTCACTATGGCGAATAGAAAGCGACCAGGGGCGATAGTCGCATTTGCCTCATGTTCGGCGGAAATCGGTAAGTTCCAACATATGCGCAACATTTTCTATATTTGGGTACGATGACGTCGTCAGCGTACCCATTTTTGGAAGGTGCGTACCCATATATAGAAAATCCTTCCAAAAATGGAAGGCTTTCTAAAAATGGAAGATTTGACCACAGTTTCCCCGACTGATTTTTTCTGAGGTGAGGTCACTTGGCGTTACCTGGTGACCTGACCTAAGGCGACCTGGATCTGAAATTTTACCAACATGTGCGGAAAAGATGCACGAACAGGTGTGCCAAAAACGGCGGCGCGCGCCGCCGTTTTTGAGATATCTGCGAAAAACCGCACAACCGGTGTTCAAACAACCCCCGGCCCGGCGCGGGTTAAACTTACTTTATACATTCTGTTGTTAAAAAGCAAAAATGTATTTATCGGATGATGACATTAGTGTTCCGGAAAAAACATACCAGAAATGAATCAGATGAATCGTTATTTAGAATAAGAAGCAGCTCTGCCTAGTTCATGTTTCGTAGGTGCACGTATTATATGCTAATTATAATCATACGTAGACATACAAACATAAAAGCGATTCATAAACAAAACGCACACCACAATGTTCACAGCTTACCTTGTTATCGCAAAAAAATCCTCCTACAGCTGATGCCGGCTCGCCGTCGCACGGGTCACGAGCGTGTGAGGCCGCTCGGCCGCCGGGCCCGGTCCTCCGGTCACCCGTGCCCCGCGGCGGTGAGGTCACAGGGGCGGCGCCAGCACCGCCGGTCGGGGAGGCGCCGGGCGCGGCTTGGGTCGGTAGTAGGGAAGTCGTGATTGGAGATAGAATAAACTCATCCTACGCAGGATACTTCGTTTCGCGCTTGATATGTCATGTCAAGCGGTGACGGTATTTGTAGTGATGAAAGATATATGTCATGCTATGGCCATCAGCTTTTTTTATTGCAATTCAATGCGACGATAGAGGCCTTGTTTACGGCATTCCCGTATAAGTTAGTTTTACTATTGAGCTCTTGGTAAGTAAGCGAGGTATTTGGCTGTTTCTATAAACGTTTCGCAACATTGATCCAATTTACAGGTCAGTTATATGCAAACATTCGGAAAATTGCCGGATCCACGCCTTCCCGTCATCTCGCCTGTCCATACTCCTCCCTCCCTCTCTCTCCGGCCAGGTGCAGGTAGTCCGTGGGATCCCTCCCGACCCCGGGGGCCACGCCACATTCCACCTGGGCCTGCGGGGCCGGTGAGCCACCCGAACGGCCGCCGCCGGCTCTTGGCGCCCGCCGCTGCCGGCAGATACCGTCCGAAGGCCGCGACCCGCGGAGGGTAGGCCAGCAATCGTGAGAATCAGCCGCCCCTGCCGCTTAGCCTTTTCTACCGATAACGACCTAATACTTTGGTAATTTTTTTTTATAGTATCATGGATGATCATTTCGCTCAGTTACAACTGCTGTACTTTATCGGGTGACTTTCTTACATGAAAATGACACAATATGTAAGTGTTCATGCCGTTTTATTAGACGGAACACTCCTCTTCCGTAAGCGCCAAGAGCCCACATGTATGTGTACTTTTTTGTCCTCATGACACCATTGCCGGCCCACCCCGACCCTGACGCGGCCGCCCTTCCGTCCGTCTGTCGTGTCGCTATCAGAGCACGCCCAGCACGCCCAGTACGGCCGGCACGCCCACCGGCCGCCGCCGAAGCCGGTCTCGGGGTGGAGGGACGCGCCGCCGGCCCCGGCGCGCTCTCCGTATTTGGAGAAGCAGGCTGGGTCTCAGTCGGACACAGGCGCCCGGCCGGCCGACAGCACCGGACCACCTGTGGGCTAATCGCTCTCTGGTGCCGGCGGGGAGGCGGTGGTGGCTCCCGGAATGGTGCTGGTGATTTGGTGACGTGGTGCTGGTGACCCCGGTGGTCGTTTCGGCTCTGTGGAGTGGAGAAAAGTGGTGTATTGGTGGTGAAGCGTTGCAGTATGGGAAGCGACTCGGTGGTCTGACTCGTGGTGCCGAGTGTGCTGAGAAGCAGACCTGCCGTCTATACGCCGATGCAATGATTAAGCTCTTTCGCCAGCTCAGTGATCAGTCGGAATATGGGCCTCGGTAAGTGACCAGCAACCTTCCGATGATCAGGTGGTTTTATATTCCAGTCATCGTCCATGAACTCATCGAAAAGCAAACATGGGATTCCACCTGCGGACACATTATTCTGCGGCTTTATCAACTCCGTGCACATAACTATTACGTTATATTATTACTATTACTATTACTATTTACTATTATTACTATTTACTATTATTACTATTACGTTATAGTTATTTACGTTTATTGCCGCGTGGTTTTCTCATCCGGGGCGCTTTCTGAGTGGTTACTGGTTAGCCGGCGGGCGGGATTCGGTGTCAAGGCAGTGGCAAAGGTCAAGGCATCAATGTCAGATTATGGCTCGGATGAGCACGCCCCATTTGTTTAGAGTCATGGCCTTTACACGGCGGCATACGTGCGGCGAATGCAGAAGCAGGTTCTATTTAGTTCGTGCCTTCACCCAGCTCGCCGATTAAATGCCACGACTATTCAAGCCTGCGGTAATTGTTCCCAGCACTGCATGAACAGTGGGTCATCTTTGTGGGAGCTGCATTCATCCAGTTGTATTCACGGTGTAGTCCCTTCTCTCCAACTCACCTACCGTGCCTTACAAACCAGCCCGTTTAGGTGCCTTCCTAATTACTGCCGAGTTTCGTAATTGGCCTGTGTGTCTCTGTTATGTCATATTCAGCGAAAGTAAACACCCGCTGGCCTGCTACCATGCGGCCGCTTTTCCCTGCTGCACTACCCCAGTCTTCCTGTGCCACCGGGTCGGCGGTTCCCACGGGGCGGCCACTTGCGACCCGGCTCGAAATGGCACACCGACGTAAGCCTTGTAGTGTACTTCCGACACGAGCTCCTTTCCTGATTCACATCGATGATAAACCATCAAAAGACGGCCGTCAAATGTCATTGAACAGGGCCTCGGTCTGTGAACTGTTGTTCGTGCGCTCGTTACTTACTAAAGTTTTAGTTCCCTTCACTTTACATTATATTACTTGCATGCACTTAGCTCCATAGTGAAGCGCGTTTGCACTGTTCATTGATCCTCGTGTCCAGTTTTTCCAAAGAAATTATGATGGCTAAAGTAGCACAGTGCAATGCTTTGCACCGATACGGTTGACACTGAACATTGGACGGTCCTATATCTCTAATACATGACTACCTAGAATCAAGCCGGATATCACCATGGGTATCGTACTGTGCCGTCTTTCGTGACAAATATTGAATGGCCGCTGTCGAGCCGCGCCGGTGAATCTCTCGCTACCGACCCATCCCTACCTCCCTCTGTACCCTCCGTGCTGTGTTCGACCTTGGACATAGACGGACGCTGCATCTCCGTGCATACATTTCGCGCTCATCTGGTGTGGACTCCACCCTGGAATCGGATTCCGCTCTGAGCTCTTGGTCGGCAGAGCGTCTTTGTGTTCCTCTCTCTCGTGTGTTCGCATGTGGGTACCAGTGCCCTTGAGGGCAGAGTTGCTATGGCCCTCATGGGAACCGTACTTATTTGACTTTTACATCAATGGATTTAATCAGTCCTTCCTTCTTGGCTGGCCAGTATTTGTGAAATTATTGATTTATAAAAAAAAAACATTTTTCTCCTTTAAACAGTTTAAACACTTTAACTGTTCGAGGCGTAGGGGAGAGTGGGGAAAGATGCCCAGGGTTTTGCTATGTCATATATTATTCGAAAATGACGATGGGAAAGCAAAAACTTGGAGTTTCAACGGAAGCCGACATCATTTTTCTCCAAAAATATCAATATTATAACCTTTTTTGCCATTAAGCATTTTCCTGAAGAAGTGAAAGGGGGCATCTTACCCCACAGGGTGGGAAAGACGCCCCCTGACGTTGGGAAAGATGCCCCCTGCACTATAAGTGACATAAATGGGCACGTGAATCGCCTGAACGAATCAGTAGTCCCTTCGAGCCTGCAGTAGACACCAAACGTCATCATAAGGGCCCTCAAAAGTAGTCGTAAGGGGCTTCAGAGGTCATCGTTAGGGCCATCATAGTCCAGCACGGCCAAACAAGCCTCTGTGGTGGCGTTCGGAGACCACTGTGGGGCTCTTATAGGTCTTCATGATGCTTGAGGGCCCTCGAGCCCATCGTGGGCACCTCCGATGCCAGCGCGGCCCGTGGGCCCAACGTGGGAGCCCTCAAAGGATGTCGTGAGGGGCCCTGGAGCCAATAATGGGGCCCACAGAGGCCGTCGTGAGGGCTCTCAGAGTCAGATGCCGCCCAAAAAGTCGCTATGTGGGCCGAGAGACCGGCATGGGGAGCACCCGACCGTACTGGACTCTCAATAGTCCAAGATCGGCTTTTGTCTACATCACAAGTATGTAATAAATGATTTGACGGGCTGTTTGAAGGACAGCCTACGGATTTAGGGGGGCGTCTTTCCCCATCAGGACAGGGGGCATCTTACCCCAAGGTACCGAAGTAACATTAAATCAGTACAATTTGTTAGCCATAAAACTACACCCTGAAACAAACTTTTTGGGACACAGTGCACGCATGCAAATGTATCACGACTATAGTAAGGGACGCAAAAATTATTTACCTTCTTTGATATTTACAATGTTCTGACACCAAAATATTTTTTGAAAGCAGCAAATAAAAAACATGCTATCATCAGCCAGCCGTTGCTCAACTGAGCTTTGCAATTTTGTGTGCAGTTAACAAGGCAGGCTTCCGCTTTACGCTAAGAACATTAATTTCCAGGTCCGATTTTTTGTTTCGCCGCTAGAGGGGGTGGGGCGTCTTTCCCACCCTGGGCATCTTACCCCACTCTCCCCTACGAATACCTACCTATTGAGTAAGGCGGAAGCCTGTCACTCGAGCTAGAGCAGTTCGCTGTCGCTCGATAGTCGATACACATTGAAAAGAAATGACCGCGTCGTGCTGTCACGCAACCTAAATATTGATAAATCCAGTCCTAATAGCAGATTCAATTTAAAACACTAAGAAATCGTGCTGCTTCACTCACGGTGCTTCGAATCACACCTGTTTTCTATTGGCAGTTGTGTACAGGTTATATGCTGGAAGTAATAGAGAATGGTCTCTGTACAGTCTGTCTTAAAAGTACCGCGCAAAGTAACGGTGGATCATTCAAGCCTGGCCGAGGAAGGGCGTGCTAAATTTGAGTCACCGAAGCAATAGGGTTGGGACCTATCTGCATGCTCTGTATGTTTTGGTAAAATAAAAAAGCTCAGAATTTTTAATGATTTAATTTAAAATCACTTTGTTAAAAAAATGCCTGGTTAGTTCAGAAATTAATTATTTGTGGCTGAAAACAACTTGCTTCTGATTGGTCGGGCTAATCATGACGTCACATGTAGGTATATAACTGTCTGTATATTTGGCGCAGTTGAGACATACATTTTCTATGTATTTTCCTATGGTAAATCGGAGTGATTGGTCGTGTTTTCAGTGTCTCTTTATTTTGCGCTGGTATTGCGTGGCTAAGAAGTTTTATCAAGAATGGCATATACTAAAATGTTCCTTTAATAATGGAGCTTCAATATCTGTGAGTTTTATTGGCAAGCGAAAACTGATTTCGCTGTTATTTTATCTGGAAATTACTCATTTTTTTAGGTCAATATTCAAAATATTTTACGGGAACAAGTTGGCACTTTTTTTTATTTTTGCACTCAAATCGCGTGCGATTTAACTGTATTGGAACTTGCAAAGAAGCTTGGTGATTAATTAACTGTGTTGTTATGGCACTGTTTGCAAAGCATGGATAATGAAACTCTGCCAAAGACTTAGCTACATAGCAATGCCTCAAGTAATACGCAGGAGGGACAGAATTCAGAGTCCGATCGAGAAGAATCGGTGCAAATGCTACGAAGACCAGGCAGCTCTGATACAATAGCTAGTCGTCTCACTACTCTCACTCCATTAGACCAGCTGATTCCTGACAGCACCGACTCGGATGCAAAGATGGAGCTCATCTTCCAAGCCAGAAACCAGTTCTTTGATGGAAGATGTGATGCTGCCTCTGTCTCTGCTTTGTTGGCCACTTTGGACGGGGCGGAGCTCCGCTCCTTGCGTGAGCGGTTATTCGCCTGTCATCCAGAAATAGTTCCTTCGTTTGCTGGCCGTTCCCTGATTAGGTGCAATACGGGGAGCTGTAATCAGGGAAGTAACTTTCCATATGAAAGGGGTGCAGGTGCACCCCCGTCCCCCATCCACTAGAAGTGCACCCCCATAGGCCATAGGCTAAGCGGCGTCCCACACGCCGCCCCACACGATTAGCTCTAGAGCAGATGGCGAGGGTGATTTCTCGGCTACATTCCATCTCGGCGTCGTGATGCTTGTGGGCTTGGAAAGCGTCCAGTCGTATGTAGGGTAGTGTAGGGGTAGGGTTGAGTTCAATAAGGTCCTTACATTTGAAAGGTTTGAACAACCCGCAATCAGCACAACATACCACAAGTTAAATAAAAAACTACCAAACTCCGCCCAACTAATATTAATAAACATTACAGCCAAACTAATGGCCTAAATAAAAATATATCTCAAATCCTAACAGTTATCGCGGGTGATGGCGCCATGAGTTGCTATTATCCAAAACAGATGCAAATAAACATGTTTGTATGTCCTATGTATGTTTGTTTTAAAAACGTTGCAGCGGCGCTGGGAACTGCAGTCTTAGATCTGGGTATGTTTGGCATCTGCTACTCTTCATATATGTACACATTAACCCTATTTCGGACGGGGAGACCTTTCAGGATTTTCTTGTACAATTGCCAAACGCCGCGAGACATTCAGCTCATATTTGGTGACTTTTCCTAAATGCTCATTGCGCACATCTCAGCAAAAAAAAAAAAAAATGCCGGGTCAGGTCAGGTCAGGTAACCAGAGCGGGTTTGTTGACCCCACCTCAGAAAAGTTTGCAATCACGTCAGAGCTTGAGTTTTTCACGAAGTTATTTCCTCTCATCAAGTCTTCAAAACAGTACCTGCAGTATGTGTCGTTTGTATATCTCAGAATTTTTGATCTGTGACCTGAGGTTAGGTCAGAGTCGTGACCTTTACATTGCAAGCCTATGGAAAAGTATTGAAATGCGACCTGCACCTCGAGTAAACGAGTCAAAACCACCCAATTCTTTAAGAATTATGACAAATTATCTTATCTGTAATGATCCAGGTGCCATTTACTGACAGGGACACCGGAGAGGGTTATCTGAGCCGAGATCATGTGAGGTGATATCTACCATACATCAATGCTCACAATACTTACAATACCTATTGACAATGCTTTTGCTTACAACACTTACAATACTTACGATGAGACCAGCAAGCACTCTGCCGTTACAGTTCTAACTTCTGCTTCGAAAAACGACGTTACACACATTCGCTGCCAGCATAACATGTATTGTTTGACAGTAACAAAATACAATTGACATCTGAACCCCAAACGGACCGCCATCCACTCAAATTTTATAACCCTGACCGGTCAGGGGGCGAATGGAGGTCATTTCCTGGGCATTACGCTCAGCCCTTGCACAAAATATCTCGCCTCACAGTGATCATTACAACAATAGCACCGACTTGATAGTGGATTTCAAAGTACTTGCATCAGCTCTTCCTGCTATTGCAGACGATCATCTCCTCAGGGTAATGTTGTTCGGGACATGAGCGAAGATCGTTTTCGGAGTTTCATAAGTGCTACTGCAACAGCCTGGCACAAAACAGGACTTGTACGCTCTTCTCTGCACTTTGCCCTTCAGTATATCACAAAAGAATTGTTTAGAACCCATCTTACGCAGTACGCTTCTTTCACAGTCTCCCTTGCCACCGTAGGGCGTAGATAGATTGCTGTTGCTGGTAAGTTAAGGCACGGTAGATAGAAATTACCTCGGTTCTCTACGCCTTAAGTTATTTTCATAAAAAAAAGAACAAATAAATGATCAATAAGATGACAGGAATGTAAACATTTTAATCGTAAAGTAGTCCAAATATTGGAATGAGCTTTTGCTTTTCAGCATCCTCCGATTCATCATCTTTATCATTTGAAAATTCGAGGTACATAAAATGTTTATCACGCGCTCATGTTAAGTGGGAATATAGTACACGGCAGACACATCATTTTTTGACACTGAACATTTCATCCGTAAATGTTTTAGCATAATTTAAGGTTAAAAACAGCGCGAATGGCAGAGTGAAGCAAACAACATTTTTCACCCATTGATATAACATGTAATCTGTGGTGCGCCAGATGCGCCATTATTTGTCAACCGCAGAAGGTGACATGTGACGTAACAGCATCAAGAGCATCTTTTTTCAAGAACTTTTCAAAACAAGTTTCCTATCTTTCTTCCCCCATTTCTCTCAGCTTATTGATTTTATGAGGCAATGGTATGCACCATAAATTCTGTGAAAATAGTTTGATCATTTTCATGCATTCTTAAAAAATCGAGTTCCCAACCCCATTGAAATCCTCGTCCATTCCCCAGGTCAACTGGTCCGGTGACTTTCAAATCATAGCAGGCCCTTCCTCGGTCAGGCTTGATGGATCCACCGTCACTGTGCGTGGTACTTTTAAGACAGACTGTACACTGACGCAAGTTTTGAGGCCTCCTGAGCCACGGAGTGAATGGACAATAGGCTGCCGAATTCTGACCGCAAACACGCCCATGTTAAATCACACATCTGAGTTATCATAATGCAGGTGATACAATCATAATGCATCTGCATTCTGCATGCCGGCCTTGGAACAGGTTTTCTCGTACACGAGTGTAACGTAGCAGCTGCTTCCGAGGTCGTTTATGACGTTTTCATTTCTTCTGACGTAAGGGTAGGGCAAAGGAACGCACCCTGAGGTAAAATGTCTTTTGACGACTCTACGGCTAAACTACTTGCAAACATATTTTTTATTGGCGTTTGATTTTGTTTTCGGATGGTAGTCCCGATGAATGAATAAATTTTGAACATGCTAGCGTTCGTGCCGCGCGACAGGTGAGCAAAAACGTTATTTCCTCACATAGATGTTTGACACGCCATTCCATTTGTGATGTCTACCTACCTTCATGTCTGCCTACATATACGAAGACTAATAGTTTATTCTGTAGTTCTGTCAAAGGTACGGCGTGCATTTGTTCAAATAACTTCCCGTCATTCCTGACTTTTGAGCTTCCTTATGTGCCCCACAACCGTTCGGCAATTACTTCGACAGGTTATTGTGCCATTATGGCACCATCGAATTAGGTATCACGTCCTCCTATCCATAGCTGATTGCCTTTAGATCGCTTTATCGATAATTCAATCGGTGCGATTAATTTGATGGATTGAACCACGCCACACATGTATGATCCAACTCCGAGTAAGGCAGATCGCTCCGAATTTCTGATCGTTCTTCAGGCATCGACTTTCAAATCATGACACAACTACACAGCTGGCTGACGAATAAGGAAGACCGGCGATACAGTTACGTCATCAAATTAAAATATTTGACTCATGTGGGCGCTGGGCGGCGGTCGGGACCGCTAATTAGTATGCGCTGATGACCATGATTTTGACAGATCGACTTGTGAAAGTAGGAGCGTGTTTAAAGACAGACTTGGCGTTTTTTTTGCGGTATGGAAGGGAAATAGAGCAATACTGTCGTGCCTTGATTGAGGAAGGGTGATACCTAACGTAGTCTCTGGTGTCCGATGTTATAATTTTGTTCGTTCCGGTGTTTAATAAATGCATTATGCTGAAATAATGCGCTCGGTCGTAACTCTAAAAAGTTAGCCACATTTGCTCCTTTTATGCAACTGATATAATTTCAAAGAGTTGAGTCATAACCCGCGCTCAAACCTGGCCTGGCCCATAACTAACGTTGAACTAACACGCTCAAGAGATGACGCCTCGCTTTGTTCCCCTGTGTTCCAGGCTGGCTCCCGCCGCGGACTCCCCTCCCAGCGGGATGACGTCATCAGCACCTCGGCCGCGGAACCCTCTGCGTCGGCTGGCCAACAGTCTGAAGTCGCACACCCGTCCGACGGTGGTCCGTCGTCGGCAGCTCATCACCGCCGACCCCTGCCGCACCAACATCGAACACCTGGTGTTCCGCTCCGACCCGCGGCCGCAGGAGGGCAGTACCACCGCTACAGGTGTCGCTGCGGTCGCCGTGCACCGCCGGGTGCGCTCAGCCTCAGCTGACGGAAAAGTGTGCGGCTCGCGGTCGCCGCCGCGACAACACCTGTCAGAAAACGACACTTCTGGGACGCTTCCGCGGCGCGGTACTGTGGTTAGAGTCGACGGGGAGACTCCACCCAGACGAAAGCCTCGTCTCCGTCATGTGAAGCCCCCGGAGATACCCGGTACCGACCGGGGTGACCAATGGGACTGGCGACCCCCGCGGCTGGGACGGCTGACAACCAGCGTACCCGATATCCTCTGCAACATTCGAGCTCCACCGGAGGAGCCTAACTCAGACTCGGACGCGTCTAACCCATCCTCTCCGCTACAAATACCTGCCTCATTATACCACTTATCCCGCCTGGACAGTTCCGACTCGATTCGATCATCTGAATTATCACCTCATCCCAGCACAGCCAGCGGCGCCGGCCCGGGTGCTCCCCCGGCAGTCAGAGACAGTGCGTTCCTGCGCCGGGCGCGTGCCAAGCCGGTGCGCCGTCGCTCTCTGACTGTCACCGTCTCCGACCCTAACGAGAGGCGGCGCTCGCGGCGGCCGTCTGGTCGAGAGGTCATGGGGGCGGGGCCTGGGCCGGCAGCCGGCCGGCCCGGCGCCCTGGGCCCGGCGCTGATTACACATTCGGCCCGGCCGGCGGCGGCCCTCTCCGGAGAGCAGTCAGTCGCGGGCCAGCATCCGACGCGCACGGCCCGCGGGCCACCGACGGCGCACATTCAGCGGACAGGCGGCGCGCGCGGTCCCCCACCGGCGCAGGAGCCACGCGGCGGCGCCATGCGCGTGGCACGCTACACCGCAGAGCCGCCACCGCCGCTACCGCAAAACGTCTGGAAAAATGGAAACTCGGCCGATTTTGGGTTACATGGCCAGCCGAGTAGAACATGCGAGTCGCCGCCGCCGCGTGACGGCCGGCCGCGCGTCAGTGCGTTCCCGCTGGCGCTGCCGCTGCCGCCGTCGCCGCGGCCGGCCGAGCGCGCTCAGTGGTCGCGCGGCCCGCGCGCAGGTAGCACCTCTCGGCCCGGCACCGCGCTCGGCCGCTCCGAATCGCTGCACGACTCCAGCGCCAGGGCGCGAGAGAGGTTCTTCGACGCGCTCAGTTCCACCAGCGAGCGGCTGAGACGCAGGAGGAACTCCACCTGGGACTCGACATCAGCGGAGACCGGTGCTGGGCGGGTGCTATTCCCCAGTGAGCGTGTTAGCGCGGCGGACAGTGTCAGTGACCGGGTGAGAAGTGAGACTGTGAGCGGTGAGCGCCGAGAGACGAGCGGTGTGAGCGGGACGGTGAGACGCCGCGCTCACAGTGAGACCCGGCGAGAGGACAGTGCAGTGAGCGCCGCCGCTGGTGACAGACTCAGACAGAGCAGTAAGTACGCGGCTCCCCGTGTGCGTGTGTCTCGGACTGAGAGTGTGGACGGCCGCGTGTGGACGGACTCTTTGCGCAGGTACCGCTCGCTGCCGCGGCCGCGCTCGCCCAATCTCCACCCGTCGATTGATAGTATCGACTTCCATCCGTCGGAGCCGATATACGACACTCCACCTGGCCGGCCGCTGCGGCGCGTGTCGCGAGATGACCTGACCCTGGCGGCGGGTCAGGCCGAGGCGACAGACAGCGACCAGGAGATGCCCGGGCGCGTCTCAAACATCCCCGTGTACCGGCGTCGGCCGCCCGCCGGCGCCGACAGCTCGTCGGCCTGCAGCTCGACCGCCGCTCAGAAATTTGCCGACGACAGGGGCAGACGAGCCCCGACCTCCACCACCACCAATGGTAGCAGCGGCGGCAGTAACAGCGGGCCGAGCGCCGCGACCGGTCAGCGTCAGGGGCGGCCCGCAGACGGTAAACTGATGACGTACACCTCCCTGCCGCGGGCCAAAATCGAGTACTGTCCCGAGACGGAGACGGGATCGTCACGGAGCAATATCCGCGGCCGCGGCGCCGGAGCGGGTCTCAGGGAGGAGCGGTGCTCGTCTCCAAAACCGCCCATTCACCCCGGCGGTAAATCGCGCCCCGGGGTCAAATCGGCCGCTTCAACCAGACGTACCGCCGGCACAGGCACGCTGAGAAATGGCTCACCAGCCGCGAGAGACACGGAATCGACAGCCAACGGTCGGACGAAGACAGCTGCTCAGACAGACCGGCGGCCAGGTCTGACTATCGACACCAGAAACAAACCTACTCGGCGAGAAACGGCAAACAGCCCTCGGCCGGCGACAGAGAACGGAGCTCGACCGGGCAGAGGCGCGCCCTCGCCCGGTTCGTCAGCACGCTCCACGCCCAACTCGTGCCCCATCTCGCCCCAATCCAGCCTCAGTCCCAGCAGTCCGAGGGACTCACCGCGATCGTTCCGCTTCTCCGGGAATAAATACTCGTCCGGTATTCCAACACGGCGCAGCAACGGGGCTGACTCTGTGGGCGGGACAGAGTCCCCGACGAGCGGCTCTTCCATCAACCTCAGTGACATCTCCGGCCTCAGCGCGCTCACCAGTCCTGAGTCGAGCACGAACGGTGGTCCAACCCAGTCGAGCGCCTCGCGAAATGGTCGAAAACTGCAAAAACCCAGTGAGCAGCCGACAGCGCGAAACGGCGCCGCCACCGCTGCTCCGGCGCTCAGCAAAAACACGTCCAAAACATGGATCGGCTCGGAGCGTCGCGGCGGCAGCGTGGGCTCGCCGCTGTGTCGCTCCCAGGAGAGTGTGGCCAGTGGTGTGGGCTCGGACAGTGCGCCGGCCTCACGCACCGCCAGCCAGAGCTCGCTGCACGAGCCCGGCCGGCTACGGCGGCCGAGAGCCACGCCCGGCCGGCTGGACGCCGGAAAATTCGGCTCCAGGTCGATCACAACCATCCGAGCGAGAAATCTGAGCAAAGGCTCATCCGGCGAGAGGGAGAAGGAAAATGAGCCCAGGCAGACGGCGGCCGGCAGAGCGGGAAAGCTCACCGATGCTACCAGCACGAAAACAACCAACAAAAACGGTCTGAACAGCGTTCCCGACACGCGGTCCAAAGCGGCTCCAACTGAGAAAGGAACCGGCACCGGTAGCGATACGCCAGCAAACAAGTCTAAGGTGAAGGTTCAGCGATCTCTCAGTCTCCAGTCGGCGGCCAAACCGAGCCTGCCGCCCAAACCGTCCCACCTGCGGCCGCCGGCGGCGCTCGGCGCGGGCCGGCCTGACCCGCTCACCTCCCTGCCCAATATACAGGGGCTCGGCACCGATACGTGGCGACCCGCCGACAACGACACGTGGCCGTCACGTGCCGAGCAGCAGCGCAGCTCACGTGCCGAGGCCGGCTCGGAGCCGTCTCGGCGGCTCGGCTCGTCTAGCTCCCGCCGGGCCGGCCGCGCCGCCTCCCGCGCCGCTCCAGACGACAATAGGGACGGCCGCGCCAGGGATGCGTCCCCTTCTGCGCCACCCAGCGCGCCGGCCGAGCGCCATTCAAGCTCCGTCGAGCGGCGGCGCCGACCGGACACTTCCAACGTGCCGGCGTACAAAAACCGCCGCGATCCGGCGCCGCGCCCGGACCCGACATTCCGATCAGAGGATGAGACACTGTCGGCCGAGGGGCGGCAGAGGAGCGGGGTACAGCAGCTCGGCTCCATTCACAGTCCCTCGGACCGGGAGCCGGAGTCTGAGCCGGGCCGGAGCCGGGAGCCGGAGCCGGAGCCGGCGCGGCCTCTCTATCGTCAGAGTCCGGACGGCCGGCGCAGCAGCGGCGCCGGCTCCCTCACCAGCCGGGACACGGACACCTGTTCAGACAGCGGATCCATCTGCCTGCCGGTCCCGACCCCGCCGAGGAAGCAGAGCGTCGACAAGGCCGTCTACTCGAGTGTGATCCACGTGAATGGTACAGAGGACGGCCTGGTGACAAACCGTACCCGACTGCAGCGATATGTGGACGCCGGCGAGCAGGTTCAGGCAACAATCCAGGGCCAGAAGGACGCCCAGAACGAGAACAAAGTCCGCCTCTCGCTCAACGTCGACGGCGACTTTCTCAACAACCAGTTCGACGCCATCATCGAGACGCTGAAGCAGGTGGCGGCTTCCGTTCAGGAGCAGGGTAGCCGACCGGCCTCCGTGGCCATGACGTCCCGCAACTCGGACCCCATCTACGCCGAGATCCGCTCACCGCGCACACCGGTCGGAGCGTTATCCCCGGAGCCGATCTACAGTGAGGTACGGTCTCCGGTACCGGTGCGTCCCGGAAGCACACCAACCTCCCCGACCCGGGCGCCGCCGCTGCCGCCGCCGGTCACACCCAGAACGCAGGCAGAGAATGACGCCTTCTTCGACAGCTCGCCGACACTGGACGAGCTGGCCAGAAAGCTACATGCCGACGCCAGGCACCTGGATGACGACTGTGACTATGTCAACTTCCACGACCTCGAGTCGCCGTACCGCACTCCGCCGCCGGTGGCCCCACAGGCCAGTCAGCTGATCGCCGGCAGACGAGGCGCCGACGCGACTCCGCACCCAGACTACGGCAGTCTGCCGTACTCGCGCAACCTGGAGTCGGTCCAGGAGTGCTCGGAGAACGGTTCGAGACCTGACTCGCGCGACGGGCCGGCCAGCTTCGAGCGGCTGCAGCGGGAGGCCAAGAAGGCGCTGTCCCGCAGTCTGAGCGACAAGGGCGCGCCGCCGCGGCCGGCGCTGTCCGTGTATCGCGCCGGCTCCGAGTGCGGGGACGACTCGGCGCGGTTCGGCACGCGCGGAGAGCTCGGGGCTCCCCGCTCGGAGCGCAGCAGCTGCCAGTTTCTGGACAGCGACGGGTCAGTGTTCTCCTCAACGTCAGACGTGTGGACGGGCCGGGATCTGGAGAGTGCCATCCACACCCTGGTCGGCGGCGGACTGGGAAAAACACGCACCCGCAGCACGGGCAGTGAGACGGCGGCTGAGCCGCGCAAACCCAAAATCAAAGAGTCCACCTCGTCGTCGTTCCTGTCGCGTGACTCCAAGCTGCGAGGCTTTGTGCGTAACGGCTGGCGAGTGGGCACCCGCCGCAGTCACAGCTCTAGTGACGACTGCCGAGACTCGACCATCACCATCGACGACTTCATCGCGTCGCTGTACGGCCAGCAGGGGGTCTCACTGGAGGCCCTGGGGCCACACGCACCTACCGAAACACGAAACCGATCCGAGTCGGAACGACGCGCACCGACCGCGCCGTCAGCCTCGACGGCATCGACGTCTTCAACGCACACTCGCGGTCGGAACGCGAGGAGTAACAGCATCACGGGCACGGAGCCGGGCGGGAGCCGGGGCCGTCCGCCGTCCGACGAGCCGCAGATGGAGGAGGAGGGCTTCGGGCGCGACTCGCCCGTGCCGCAGCAGAGGTCCCTGTCGCTGCCCAAGACGTTCCTGGCCGAGCGGTACGGCCTGGCCGGATTCAAGGCGGCCATTCCCAGGTGAGTCCACCGGCCGGCGGACTGGCTGGCGGGGCGGGGGGTGGGGGGTGGGTGGGAGGGTTTCTCCATGCTGCTTCTCTCTTCTCAGAGACCCAAACGCAACCAGCTGGATATTTTTCGGTAACTGACAGTGTTATTCGTAATACATTATTTCCAAATGTGCGTCTCCAAATATGGTCAAAGTCGTAATCCATGAGCGGTACGATCCATTCTTGGAGACGGTGTTCTTGCCGCTCTCGGTACCTTGTTCAATTTGAAGCGTTTACGTTAAATGGATACTTTGGAGGGTAATATTACTGCGGGTTGAACTCCGTTTGATCTTGCCGGCCCGCTTCTATAAAAGGCCACCATTGTTCCGTCCCCGCCGTCTCATTACATTCTGGAGAATTAATGGTCGAGCGTTCGCCCTGGTACGACGCGATAAATTCGCCTCGTGGCGGGTCGCCTGCCATACGGCCTGCCAGCCGGCATCTTACTTAACCACTCACTAACGACCCCAGGACACCTAATCACAACATTGCCGAAACGCAGTTTTCACACAATCGCTTTCCTAATTTCGATGCGCCCGACTTGCGCGCGTTGCCTTCGCTCCCCCATCCATATACCTTCACCAGTCGCTACGCTTTGGTCGCTGCCTCAACACCCCTCGTCCACTCCATTTCCCAAGAGTCTCTCTGTCCCGCTCGCCCGTCCTTCCCGACACTGTGGTGACACGGGCCTGATGACAGCCGGCGGCGGCGGCGGCGGATCTGGCGACATTCCTCGATGTGGTTACCGTAACTCGGGCCGTCGAACTGTAACGTACCGGTCTCACGGCTCTGTCAGCGATCAGAGGACGCCGCGAGGACGCACGGCCCGCTGCGGCGGTCTGTTATGGTCTAATGTAGACACTGAGGTGGTGTTATGTTTGACGTCTGATGTAAAATAGGATATGCGAGGCTGTTTGAACTGAAGCATGCTAAAAGTCAGATGAGCTACATATCAATTAACACAATTGAGTAATGTGGCAAAAAAAAAAATGTATGGCTCAGAAGGAGCTTGCACGATGTCCCTGTCACCTCTTCATATGAAGTCACCTCTACATAGAACCATGCGTAATTACCATGCCCACAATTAATCCCCAGCAAGCTACGGAGTAGCAGCCAACAGATATCAACTACGTAGCCACATCCATTGTTGATCTCAACGCTCATTCATCCTGTCCATTCAACTCTGGATGCATCTCACCGCACGGACCGGGCTCAGGAGGGCTCCTCTGCATGTTTCGCCGGCGTGGTGGGCGTGCGGGCTGACCAAATAAACACATCCGTCAGAGGTGACGCCAATTGGCCGGTCAGCCGCGGGCCGCACCGTCTCGTCGAGCTGCGATCGTATCTGAGGTCGCGGGACGGTCGCCGGACCCTGTCCTTAGACCGGCGCCAGTGGAGATCTTTGTCGCGAGCGAGAGGTGCTCGACAGATTGCCGAGAGGGTCGGAGGTATTCCCGAGTGGTCACTGGTCCCTGATGTTGTACGGTGGTTTGAGAGGGTAAATGAAAGTTCCCTAGCTGGCCTAAGAAACGGTGATCTCTTCAAAAAAGAGTGACGGAGCAGCTAACCGTCATGTGCTTGCAGGTTTGTTATTGGTTCACGAGAGTTCCCATGGGTAACCTAGAACATATAATTTGAAATGATATCGGTTTATGTACTGTCTCTCGAAAGATTCTCGGCAGACGATCCCTGTTGCTTGATCGGTCGCCACTCGCCATCTATTCTAGTTCGGTTGTGAGACATATAGGTGATAACTGAGGAAACCGGGGAAGTCCGTCAGTCGACTCTGTTTCATCATTGGATATGACCTGCTGTTTACAGCGGGGAATTCCGGTGACGGAGGAGAGAAACAGCGTGTTTGGCACTTTTGCTCAGCTCAGAACCAGACTCCGTATGTTCAGATATCTCCCATTACATAAACACTTTGGATAAAGCGCTGGCGCAAAACCCTTTTCATCACACATCTCAGTGATCAAAAGCCTGTCGTGGGATTTCCAGTTGTTTGTGACACTGGTCGGCAACATACAAAGCCTCACCTTTTTCAAACCAGAAGCCTGAGGAGTGAGGAGACGCTCTCCATGTCACACCACAATCTCGCCATGACAGAACCGCCGCGGTTGTGGCGTCTCCCTTACGTCAAACTCTGACCCCGGCTTCCCTCTGTGGTGTCTCATCCCACCCCCATGCATTACCGCAGTCGCCTACTGGCGCTGAACAAATATACACCGAGAGCGCTGACGGTGGGCACTCGCCGGAAACAACATACCAACACGGGCGGCAGGAGCGGCAGGGCATGGGGATAGGGAAAAACTATTGGCCTGAAAGTTGAGGTTGACGATGATTTCATCGGGTTATAACATTTCATTCTTCCCCTCAGATGCTCCATCTGGAGGCTGGGCTGTTCTGTTTGTCTTCATTTCTTGTTTCACCTTATTCTTATTTGCATCGGCTGATTTTGCACGTTTATTACCGGTCCAGACATTAGCCATTTCTATAGGTCCCACCGTGGCTGGCCGGGTTCCCCACACCCGCCCCGTGTCACCGGCTCCGGCGCCGGCTCGCGCGCGACCCTGGGTGCTAATTGATGACCGCCACTCAGAATGGCGGCGCCACCCGGAGCCGTTTGTCATCGGTCTCCTGCCAACCAACTGGGGCTATCAACCAGACGGGATAAATACTTAGCCGACTTAGCTGCATGGAAGGGGTGGTGACCTGGGGCATGTATCGATCTTCCTAAGTGGCGACTGGAGTCCATCGGCAAATGATAACGGTTATGAATGATAAACATAAGCTGTATGTGTTCCGAGATGTAAAATGCCGGCCCGTTTTATCGGTGTTATGTTTGCGTATCGATAACACTCAGCTGAGTTTATGCTTGGAAAATCAACGCTGCAGCGATATAGTTCGTTCAATATTTATTCGATAGTACTGCGTTTGACACATTGTAGAGTGACAGCTCGGGTACCGTCTGAGCATTTAGTCTAACGCCGTGCTGGCGCCCACGACATTGCTGGGCTGGCTGAGCCGACTACTGAACTCGCATCAGCGGCATTCATCACTGTTCAGCAGTAGCCTGTCACTGGCACCTCATGAGCCGAATCTGGCATGACTGGCAGGCTCAAACAAATCCTCACTCTCTGCAGCGTCCATTCTAAAACCATTCACAGTCAATTCGACCCGTTCTGCCATCACATCCGTGCATTACCGGCATTTATCACCTGTGGCGCAGTCCGCAGTGACTTGTCGCGTGCTCGCAAAAGCCGTCCGCTCCTTCACGGACGTTCCGGTCGGCTCTGGGCCTAACGCGGTCGCCTACATTTCTATTTCTCACGATTTCATTTTTTCTCGCCGGCGCACTACCAATTTACACTTTTCTGGCGTGTCGGAGAAACTTTGCTGCCGCGGCCGGGCGGCTGGGCTCGCCATGGGAACTTGCCTGTCGGCGCGGCCGGTGACCGGCGCGCCGTGCCTCGTCGCACCGCGCCCTGCACCGCGCGGCGCTGCTGAGAACAATGCTCGCGCTCCGTGCAATGTGCATAGCCCATGGCAAGCGTCCGTTGTGAACGCAACACCCATGCATGCCGGTACACTTCTCTCGTGCACTCCGGCTGTGCACTCCACCCCTGCACTCAACCCATGCACGCGTACGGCAGGCGGCGACGCTCCTTACACCAGAGCACAGCCCCGGCACCGCTTTAGGGCTCGCTGAACGGGCCATCTCTCTGGAGGCTGTTTTCCCGAAACGGTCGGAGCGGCGGACCTACGATCAGACCCGCGCGCCGTCTTTAGAAGTTCCGGAACCCCGCTGGGGCCCATTTGGCGATAATCCGCCAAATCGCGCCGACAAGAGAGCGTGAGCCGGGCCGTATCGGGCTCTTCGGTCAGCACCGGTCAGCAATGGTCACGCCATGAGATGGTCGGAGGCCCCTGGCAGCGGCGGGGTCATAACATTCCACCGCGCGCAGATACCGGTATCGGAGGGATCACACGTGAGGAGGAGCGGGCCGGGACGGTGCACGCGGTCCGGCCGCTGGACTGGTGACTAAATGAAGAAAATTCAGCTTATCAGAATGCTGTTTTATTCATACTTCTTGTTTATTAGAATTTTTGTGAATCCCATAAAATTATCTCAAGGATTAATATAAAAATGGTTTGACGTCGAGCTGCACAATGCAGAACTTTTTATTTTGTGACAAAAAACTGTTGTCAACGTTTATTTAGTGTCCGCACGTTGCAAAATGCCGCATAACTCACTTGCACTGTAGCACATCTTCTTATCGTGGACCGGCAGATGGACGCCTGCTGTATCGCCACCTCCCCCTCGTCACCCTGCACTGGGTTTTCACGGTCGGGGCTTGCAGGGGTCACCTCGGTCGTCACAGTCGGGTGTCGCCGGCACCAAGGACGGCGGGCGGGCGTCTGGGCCATTGTGGGCCCATTTGTCGACCGATTGGTGCCCGTCAATCGTCATACACTCGTCAGACGTTATACGTCATCAGACATCGTCTGGATCGTCGTGGTAGACAGCTGGGAATTCGATGGATTTTCTCATAGGTCTCTTACTCATAAATAAATAAATAGCAATAAAAAGGTTGGGTCCCGAGTTTTCACTGAAATTGTGTTATCATGAGGGCCGCTGCCGGCGTGGCTCAGCGGCAACGGCTTTCACCGGCGGCCTAAACGAGCGCGTCAAACCAGCCCTGTTCCGTCGATCGGGCCCAAATGGACTCCCTCTCAGGCGGAGCAGGAGTTATGGGTGTTTCCTGATTAGAGGTCGAGTGCCAGAAGCGACGCCCGCCTCGACGGAGGTGGCCGCAGCGGCGCCGACGACGGAGGCCGGACTGATCGCTTCCTGCGCCTGCGACGGGTGACTGCTGGCTCATGATGATGTGGTGGTTGGAAGTCTCGGTAGGAGAGGGGCCCTTTCTGTGTCAAAACACTGCCTGAATCAGAAGCTGCGGTTCCGAGCGC